TTATATCTCTCCCCTGAAACCAATGGAAATAATAATAATAATAATAATAATAATAATAATAATAATAATAATAATAATAATAATAATAATAATAAAAAGTTGGAAGGGACCTTGAAGGTCATCTAGTCCAACCCCCTGCTCAGGCAGAAAACCCTATACCATTTTGGCTGTCCATTCTCTTCTTAAAAACTTCCAGTGTGGGAGCATTCACCACTTCTGGAGGCAGGTTGTTCCACTGGTTAATTGATCTAACTGTCAGGAAAGTTCTCCTTAGTTCTAGGTTGCTTCTCTCCTTGATTAGTTTCCATCCGTTGTTTCTTGTTCTGCCGTCAGGCGCCTTGGAAAATAGCTTGACTCCCTCTTCTTTGTGGCAGCCCCTGAGATATTGGAACACTGCTATCATGTCACCCCTCGTCCTTCTTTTCATTAAACTAGACATACCCAATTCCAGCAGCCGTTCCTTATATGCTTTAGCCTCCAGTCCCCTAATCATCTTGTTGCTCTTCACTGTACTCTTTCTAGAGTCTCAACATCTTTTTTACATCGTGGTGACCAAAATTGGAAGCAGTATTCCAAGTGTGGCCTTATCAAGGCATTGTAAAGTGGTATTAATACTTCATGTGATCTTGGTTCTGTCCCTCTGTTAATGCAGCCTAGCACTGTATTGTCCATTAGGACTCCGATATCCTTCTCACAGTTACTACTATTGAGCAAGGTACCCCCCTATACTATACCTGTACATTTGGTTTTTCTTGCCTAAATGTAGAACCTTACTTTTTTCACCATTGAATTTCATTTTGTTAGACAGCGCCCAATGTTCAAATCTGTCCAAATCCTCCTGTATCCTAAGCCTGTCTTCTGGAGTGTTGGCTATTCCTGCCAGCTTGGTGTCATCTGCAAATTTGATGAGTTCCCCATCTATCCAAATCACTGATGAAGATGTTGAAGAGCACTGGGCCAGAACAGAGCCCTGTGGCACCCCACTACACACTTCCCTCCATGTAGATGTGGTTCCATTGAGGACCACATACTGAGTATGGCCAGTCAGCCAGCTACGAATCCATCTGGTGGTGATGCTGTCTATCTTTTTTTATATCTTATCAAGTAGTAGGTTGTGATCTATTTTATCAAATGCCTTACTGAAGTCCAAGTAAATTGTATCTACAGCATTCCTCTGATCCACTAATTTTGTCACTTGGTCAAAGAATGCAATAAGATTTGTCTGACATGATCTGTTTTTGACAAACCCATGTTGGCTTTTGGTAATGACTTTGTTTGCCTCTAGGTGTTTGCTGATTCGTTGTTTGATTATCTTTTCCAGAATCTTCCCAGGTATTGAGGTCAGGCTGATAGGTCTGTAATTTCCTGGATCCATTTTTTTTTCTTTTTTTGAAGATGGGAACTACATCAGCTCTTTTCCAGTCCTCTGGTAGTTCCCCAGTGCTCCAGGATCTTTGAAAAATATAGTTCAGTGGTTCTGAGATCACATCTGCCAGTTCCTTGAGAACCTTGGGCTGTAATCCATCTGGTCCTGGTGATTTGAACTCGTCTAGGCTGGACAGGTGCTCACTTACCATTTTCTTTCCTCTCTTGACTTGTTTTTCTATTCTGTTTTTTATGGCACTAGTCTTATCAGGTCCAAGTATTTTCACACAAGCAGAATGCTACACTGTCAGAATCTTTGCACTGTATACATAGTTGCATATGCAATGACTTCATTCCTGTGAACAATTAAAAAGAGGATTACAGTAGATATGCTATATAAGGGCCAAGCTAATCCACTAATGTGGTAAACCATAGTGTATTTCTATGTACAGAACCATTTCTATACATGTAGCTGCCTCTATAACTTAGGATGTACATATACTATGAAAATGCAGGCTTTCTTGGTGGCATATAACCCATCATACTAGCTAAATTGTGGGGGGGGGGAAGGGCCCATGCAAATAGTTATAAATTGGCATCTGGCGTCTGTCCTGATAGCATCATTGTTGAAAAGCAATTCTACCAATTCCGTCTTTCAAAATGTACATTATATTCCCCAAAGCCAAATTAGGGATGCATATTGTATTCTTGGTAATAATTGACTGAAAAAATGATTAGTGGTTTTATAAGAAAAGATTTTTGGGGAAAACTCTTTTCAGTATGATTGTTTCAGTACAATTGGTACAATTATGCAGCAATCGCATGATGGAGTTATGTTCATAAATTATATAGCTACTGCCAGATCTACAAATACAAATACATAAGATATGCTAGTACATGTGCCAAGTATATTCCAAAAGATTTTTTCCCCCCTTTTGAACTAGTGCAGGTGTTTCCATGGTTTCAAGCCATCTTTCATGGCAATTAATGCTGGTAGAATTCTTACTTTTCTCTTTTTATTTTCAATTTTTTAAGCTTTGTAAATAATAGAATGTCAATAATTTTCAAGCATATCAAATAAACATCACTGCATTGAAATTTGCATTGAACTAATACGATGTATCAAAATTCACAACATTACAATTAAAAAGATATGTGTCTCCAGTCCTAAGAACTATGTTAATTAATCTCAGGTTTCTTATTTCTCTAAAATAAGACATTCTGTAACTTGCTCATACATTTCTTTCATTATTGAAGTGGACTGAATAGTTTTTCTATATTTAAATTTTATCAACTTGGTTTCTTTGAATATGGTAGACATCTTATAGGAGATCATAGTTAAAGTATTGTTTCTTTCTTCCATGGGCCTGCCTATTCTTGAGACTTTATAGAAGTATTAACCTCTGGTATCAAAAATAAGGAGTCTAGTAACACCTTAAAAGTGTATGCTTTTTAATAAAATGTGTTAATTGGAAAAGATGTTACTAGACTCTTTCTAATTTTATGTCTCTGACAGCATGTAAAATTAACCTGCTGTAGCCTGGTAATCATTTAATTAAGTATAGTATTCAGTAGAAATTGTGTGTTCACATAAAGTTTCTGTAAACATTTAAAAGGCTTGAAGTATGCAATTTCCCAGGACTGAAATTTTGCTATTTTTTAAAATTATTTTCTTTAAAGTCTTTGCTGATGTTAAAGGTTGGGAAAAAAACCCCGTAATATTGACTGTCCATATATACTTGCATCTTAAAGTGATTTTAAAGTACATATATGGAAAAATAATAATTTGGAACAGTACATCCATACTAACCATTCTGGAAAGACACCTTGAAGAGCTATATGGAGAATAAGCAGTCCAATAATATTTGATAGAAATCTCCACCAACTGAAAAGAATTTCCTCCACAAGGGGCCTCCTGTATATGGAATTGGAGCCTTTGGATTTCTCCCTCCAATGAATTACATCATTCTTTATAGAGAGATCATTCTAGCACACATTGGCAGATAAGCATAATGTGAAACTGTCAATATAAAAAATAAATGAAGTGCATTTCCCCCTTGTATAGACAATGTATGAAACTAGAATATGACATGGAAAAATTTCTTCCACAGATATTGGAACATCAAAAATGTGCTTTTGATTCATTGTCTTTACAAGCGAATCAAAATTATTTTACTTCCCAGGCTGTAGATTTGTTTGTGTTTTGCTCATGTAATAACTTTAATGACTACTTGGAGAAGAAGAGTCGTTCAGATCCGATGGAACATGCATCAAGCATTCTGGACATTCTTTCTGCTGAACATTTGGAAGGTGGAGACATGTATAGTGGGTGTTGTCCCATCTATTACCTTCACCTATGTTTCTCAGCCTTTAAGATTTAAGATTTCTCAGCCAGCAAAACCATGCTTTAAAAAAGCAATTTGATAAGTCTTCATTCAAAAAAGTGATAGAAAATTTGGAAAAATGTGGTCACTTTCTCTTCATTTTGAATTCTACTACATAAATCTTTCCTTCTTTAGGAACAAGCAAACAATGGTGCTTACTGTAATTTTTGAAGGTTTTGTCGGACCCATATGAGAGCTACAACCCAAAATGACAAACAGTGTGGATCATAGAATTACCATACATACTTATATTTCTGTGAAGTTTTAAAGCTAAGGGATTTATTTAAATATGTGTAAAATAGATGCTTTAATTTCCATGATAGATGGATTTTTCATTTATTTATCATATAAGTCAGTTCAGCACACAAAAAATATGTTTAATATAGTTAAAATCATTCCGATAAAGTAGCAATTACAAATTTAAGTACCTCAGGGAGGAAAATTAAAATAACACAATAATATTTTTATGAGATTTTACCTAGTCATTTCCAGCCTTGAGCACCATACACAAAAAAACCCATTATAACCTATAAATATGACCCAGACTTCATTTGAATTGGTATAGTAGAGTAAAAGAAAAAGAAGGGGGCAATGCTTTGATGTCCCCTTTGAGCTGGAGAGTGAGATCAAATAATATTTCTGCCCTGCCATCCATTAGTTCTCTACTCAGCCAAATACAGAGTTCCACATATATATTCTTCAGTCGATGAGGAACATCTTGAAATCCTCCTGTGATCTAGAAAGTGCATTTACCAACTGTACATGCAAATTAGCTGGACTTAGTCCATTATTCCTGTTTATTTATTTATTGTTTGCTTGTTTATTCTTTCCCGCTAAATTGTTAGTATTCTTACAGAGCCCATGTGTCCAGCTTAATAGTTCATATAAACATAACAGAATCAGGGATTGTGCAAAACAGTTTTCATCACATCACAAAAAATTGCAACCTGACATTTCCCTGTGATTCCAAGAATTCCATCATTCCACTACTTACAGTAACTGAAATGGCTTCTTTCTTCTCCCACTTTAGCTACTGTACAAACATATGTTATTAATTTCCTTACATATGGGATTATAAATGATTTATAGTCCTAGGTTATCCCAGTCCTGATTATGCAAAGGATAGAGTGCTTATAAAATTCCACCTTAAAACTAATTAAATGTATCTGCAGTCAGTTCTTTTGCTCAGACATCTTATCTAAACAATGACACATAGCATTTGGAGCTAGTTATTCCACATCTGGAATCCAAATGTTAGAGATGATTATAAAAAAATCAGCACAACCACACCACTCAGGCGTTTAGCAGCCAGAAGCTCAAGTAACATGGACCTTGTTCTTCTCTGCATGTTGCTGCCTCTATTCACAGTGGCATGGGGCCAATATGGGAACTTTTACCATTCCTATGATAACTATGGGACTAATGATGACTGGGTTAATGTGTACCGGCAGGGTTTCAACTTCCAGTGCCCTCATGGGCAAGTGATTGTAGCGGTGAGGAGCATGTTCAGCAAGAAGGAAGGATCTGACAGATTGTGGAATTATGCTTGCATGCCCACCCCAGATACGCTTGGAGAGCCTACTGAATGTTGGTGGGAAGAGATCAACAGAGCTGGACTGCAATGGTAGGAAAGTTTAAACGTAGTTTAAACATAGACTCCTTGTCATGTGTAGTTAGGCTGATGCAATGTTTCAGACGATGGATGCAAAACTGCATGTTAACACCATAATAACTTCTTAAGTTAGTATCATCGGTTTTGTGTACTATAATGGTGATGCCATTATTCATTTCTATGAAGCAGTTGTAATATTTTCTTTATCTTATGAGGTAAATGGAGTACATTTATTGCATTAATTTCTAATTAAATAATTAATTGTTAGTTCCTTAATTTATTGAATTTATCCTAAAAGTTTGATCTGGGTAAAATTTTTCATCTTTCTAAGACATTTGAATTATTTTTGTTATTTTTTTTGTGGGGAGAAGAAAAAAAATGCTTGTCACGTAAGTTATTCCCTTGTTTTGTTCCATTATTGGCTCCAGTCAAACAAATTTCTTGAAGCACCAGTAGTACTTGCAAAACTTTATAAAAAATAGCCAAATGAAAACATTATGGCAGAATAAAAATAAATCTATGTAAATATATATAAGCAATTATAGCTTTAATTATATCACAGTTAACTGTCTGCAACAATTATTGTTCTTCAGGCATTTTAAGGACTGGCCCATGACAAACCAAATTTCACAACATGGGGATAGTGGTAGTACACAGATCTGGTTCGTGTCTTGTTTTGACATCACAGGATAACAAATATTCAGTTATTTAATTGACAGTTAATAAACTTCAGTCTTAGATTTTAAGTATACAGATGCCAAGAAAGATGTCTGTTTAATTAAACATGTATGTGTCACTATTAAATACCTCTATTATTCCCCAGGGTCATCATTTTTTCTTTATTTTTTAAAGACAAAAAGAAATTAAATTTTAAAAATGTATATATTTGCAAGGTTCAGATCCCAAGGACTTGGAATTGAATTCTATTATTAATGTGCAAAATATTTAAGAGAACATTGCAAGAATCATATGTCTGTTGTAAAAAGAAGCTTTGAGTGAAAACTGCTGTTTTTGCATAATGGAATTATCTAATTATTTATATGTTTATTTGGTTAATACCCTAACTTTGTTTTGTATAATTCAAGCCAATGTATGCAATGCTCTCTCCTCCTCCTATCTCCCCATCACAACAATCCTATGAGGTAGATTGGGCTGAGAAAGAGAGTGACTGGCCCAGAATCACCCAGATTACCTTGTGGTAATGCTCAAGATTTCCTGATTTCTTGCAAAGCACTTAATCCATTTATCTGATATGGCATTTTAAATTTATATACTAGTAAAATGCTCATTGTCATGACCTTTAACTGGGTGAAACATAGACAACAGTCTTTGAAGCAAGGTACCTCAAATGAACTACAGAATGTGTCCAAAATCTGGGATCCCTTACTCCCCAAGGAATGACATTTGGGAAAGTTGTGGCTACCTTAGTGCTACTGAAGCAAATATATCCTTCCGTTAGAGTAAATTTGACAGCATACAGAGGGCTTCAAGGGAAAGGAGAATGTCCTGCCTAGACTCTTCCTTACCAGTATAATATGGGATACCACCCCAAGAACTGATGTGGGATACTCCTCTCAAGCTTTTCAGCCAACTGAAATGCAATCCATAGTTTTAAGTGCTGTCTTGCATAGAGTGCTAGTGTGAAAAAGGAACTGCAACAAAGAAAAACAAAAAAAAAACAGCTAGCCTCTACTATGGAAGCACGCAAAGAGGACAGCTCATGTTGTCTCTGCAACAGCATATTTTTTTACTTGTTTTATTTGGGGCAGGGGACAGAATTCAGAGGCTATTAAACCATTTTAGTCCTTAAGAATTCTTAGAAACATCAACATTTGGGCTTCTTATTAGACCCACTTTGGAAATACAAATACTGGAATGGACTTCTAGTTTTCTACCTCTATTGCACTCACTAATTCCCCTGATTGTTTGACTTCTATAACAATCTGTCATTTATCATAGTAAAACCTGAAAATCTTGTTATCACGCCAAATATTTATCAGACCAAGGAAGTGCTAGTTCACTTTGGCAAAGAACACTGTGCCTCATCGTCTTATAGTCCATCTTTCCCACCTACCTCAGAATCCCAAAGTTAAGTCCCTTATTACATTCTTGCCAGAATTACATGAGGAAACTGCTTGTGTGGAATCCTGTTTAGTCAGACATTTTTACATTTCTGATTATCAAAATATTGAAATGTAAAATGCTGTAATAAGAAACAATCTCACCTTCGCTTAGCATTTTAGATTAAATGAAGACATTGCAGTATCTAAATACAAAATATTTTCACATCTTAACAATAGTATTTATGATTGCAGAAGATGCAGAAAATGCAGAAAAGAAAGAGGAAAAAAAGAGAAATAAAAAATTCTTTTAGCCCTTTTTGTTGTGTTTTTATGGTGTAATTATAATGATAATTCTTAATATAATTACTATAAAAACAATAGTATTTATGTTTGCATATGTCTTTGGGCTTTGTTTATTGAAACTTACATAGATTTGATGCCAAGGCTGCTGAGAAATGGGATTGACAGTTTCTTTGATGAAGGAAGATCTAGATGAGTGTCATTTAAAGTGAAAAAAAGATACAAACAATTAAATATATGCAATAAATATTTACTTGTATCATTATTGTTAGGAAACAAAGAGGTTTATTCCTAAACAAGGGATATTTTGAACAATTTATCCTCACAAAAACCTTGTAAGCTAAGAAAGTGCCCAGGACTTCCAATGGTTAATAAGGGATTGATGATTTCAGAGGCCTGTTCTGTCTCCATTATATCATCCTTTTCCCTATGGTTGAGTCACAGCAGAGAATTTTATTTTTGCCCAGCAAATCTGCTTAATTAGATAGGATAATGGAGCACAAGTATTTCTATTGTGTTACCTTTAATTCTGTTTTTAAAAATCACCTCAGAAACTGCCTCACTCTGAGTCAGATCTTTAATCCTTCAATTCCAACATATCAGCCTTGAAGGGCAACAGTTATTTAGGATTTCAGGCCGGGATTCTTCCTGACTTCTTGGCAATTTCAAGGACTGAAGCTGGAGCTTACAGAATAGAAAGTCTATGTTCTACAGTCCCTTCCTCGTTACTGGAGATAATCAGAGGGAAATATAAAAAGAAAAATGTTCTCTTTTTATTTTGTCAAAAACATTGGATTTCGTGGTAGGACATTTTCTTCTTGGTGGGAATTTCCATTTTATCTTGGCTTCTCCTCCTCTTCCACATGGCAAAATTAGCTACCACAGCACTATAATTATCTTCACAATGATTTTCTTAAATCAGTGTGGTTTTAAAGATGGCTTTACTGCTTATCTTCAAAGCAGTCCTGGTTGTTTTTAACTGTTAAGGAGGAAAAAAGTATAAGAAACAATACACCAGCATGGCAAATGTTGATTTCTGCACTCCTTATTGCCTAGTGGTGAGGAATGCTGATTGATTCCTGCCGAGTTCTCTACATCTGAAAGATCGCTGTGGTGAGAATAACCCCAAGCCATTTCAAAATGATTCCAAGGGATTGGAGAATGAAAATAGAGGCTTGACGTGCCCAGAGAATATCTGCATATCTATTTTTCTTCTTCCAAATCAAACAGTGCAGAGGATGAAGCCAAGATTTTCTTGCACTGCATTTTTTTAAAAAATGAAAGAAGATGGTTTGGCTTCTATTCCCCAAAAAACAAAAGAGGCTATAGCTTTTCAGGCAAGAAAAATGGCAATATGAGGAAATGTTTCACATGGTTAGATGTTTGACTTAGTAGACTTATTAAAAATGAAATGGAGGAAGGGAGCAGGAAGAATCTCTTTATACTGGCTTTAGGGTGGCCACTTCCATTTTCCCAAAACAAAAAGAAATGCATATAGTAATTTGTAGCTCAAATGTAATTTAAAACCAACCAACCAAACAAACAAATGCTGTAATTTAAATAGAAAGAAACCTATCTGATGGATAGCTTCAATAGCTTCACAATTTTATCTCCTTTCTTATCTTTCTTTAAGAGAAAAAGTTATTTATGAAAATCTGGTCATAGTTAATTCTCATCAGGATGCTGGTCAGTTGTCAGTGGTTTCTAATAATCTGCAAGTCGGGACTTCTAATTATGATTTTTATTTTCCTAATGTTTATGTATTTTATTTTTTTTCCTCTCTCCTCCCCCCGCCCAGGTATCAAACATGTTCAAATAATGGCCTAGTGGCAGGATTCCAGAGCCAATATTTTCCATCTGTGCTTGATCGAGAGTGGCAGTTTTATTGTTGCCGCTACAGCCGGAGATGTCCATATTCATGTTGGTGAGTTCACAAAACTGAATTGTCTATCCATATTAAGGCAGTATCTTTATTATTACAATTCAAGCTCTGGAAAATGTTGTCCAAGTCATTACATCTTCAGCAGACAAAATGGCAAAAACACAAAAGGAGGGAAAAATTGGCAGAGATGGACAATTCCACAGAATGTACACAAATCAATACATTATTTTTTACTATTTTGCCATTGATATGATTACTATGAAACCAATCAAAGAAGAGATAAACTTGATTTATTATATTTGATGAAATGTTAACTTACTTGAACCGTTTGGAAACAATGAGCTCTAAATATAATTTATGTGTATATAGTAAATTACCAAGTCAAAAATTATTAATAATTTGATAGCTGGATTTTATATTTCTTGTGTTTTTATCTTGCTACCAATCCTTGGGGAATCTTTTTATTAGCTGAGCACTTGAATGTTGCAGAGAAAAATCTACACTTCTCTTTCCTATAAGACAGAAAAATAAAATATTTGTAAAAGGCATCTGTTGAAACTATCTTTTCCTAGAGTAAGGACAAGGTGATGAGGACCCAGATTGTTGGGGGCAATATGCTGACTCTGTAAACTGCTTAGAGAGGGCTCTAAAGCACTGTGAAGTGGTATATAAGTCTAAGTGCTATTGCTATTGCTATCTGCACCCTAGTCCTTCCAACCCAATCCGTCTGTTTATGCAAATATTCTTAATAACCTATTTGGATTTAAGGACAATATTTTAAAACCTCTATCAATATGAATTGGATTTTTATAAGCAAAGATGAATGACAGATCTTATACATTTACACAAATAATTTGTGGAACCTAAAAATGTAATTTCTCTTTCTGGATCATAGAGTACATTTATCCATTTTATTATAAAGGTGATTGAGATCATTCATTATTACAAAAATCTCTTTTGAACTCCTTTATTTCATTATCTGTTAAAAATCATTCTAGTCATCCCAGGTAAATGAAAGTATTTATTTGCTACTACATTACTTTTGATATTAGGGGGAGAGGTTGCTCCTTTGTAGGTAGATATGTCTACTCAGAAATAAGTTCCAATGAATTGAGGAGAGAGTATTCTATAATAATTATACATAGACAACTCTGCCAATTAGTCACTGCTTTCTGAAACCTGCAACAAATCACTTAACATCACAAATTCACAGATTGTTAATGCAGCTGCAGTAAAGAGAATCTATGATCCAAATTTTATCTGTCCTGTTAAGAGGAACATTGACAAAATGTGTCCTTAAACTAACTGAACGAAACCCATTCAAGTTACTTAGACAAACAGAACTATTTATTCAGTTACAATGTTAAAAACTGGAGTTTCTCCCCCCCCCAATCTTTTAAAACAGCTTTTGGTACTTAATGGTTTCAGCCATTCAGGAGCTGGGGTAAAACATTTCTTTCTCACTGTGTGAAACAAGTAATAATGTAGGAACTCAGAAAAAAAATACTGATTACAAACATGTTTCAACCATACTCCAAACCAGTAGCATTCTGCATATTACATAAATGTTATAAGCACTGCATATACTATAGCTGGTAGCATAGATTAGGAAGCCACACCTGACAAATGCAAGACAGTTTATTATGTGTGCGTTTTATGCTTTTAATTTGGAAGAAGCATACTTTTCTGAAAAGTGTGTTTAGGAGAATTTGCCCACAGAAAGGAAAGAGATGGGCAATCACTTTCCTGGCATGGAAAATTAGGAAATTGCAGCAGCAGGTAAATTGCCCAATGGGAGCGATGATTGCTGGCAATCCAAACTGAACACCTGGCAACCATACTAAAGCATCCCAATCTGGACAGAATGTTCTTACAGGAACTTAGAATCCATCTGGCATCCTCAGAGGACTGGAGCAGTTAAGACAGCAGTGAAGAAGTGCCCTTAAATCATACATGAAGTGTCAATGGTAAACTCAGGCAATAGTTGATCTGAAGCCTTTATCTAACCATCTGTTAATGTTCATGAAGCTGTAGCATGTATGAATTTGAATAAAACAAACTAAACCTCTGAACATTCTTCAAGGGTCAGCTGATATATCCTATCTTCATTTAAGGTAACAATTGTGCATTATGAAAAGTAGTTTGTTAATATTATTGCTGAAGCCTGTCATAAAGATCTGTGCTTAATATGAAACAGGTGTCTCAGTTCTTTGGTGCTAATCACATTTTAAACAACATATCGCTCCTTTTAGAAGACCTGTGCCAGGATGCATATTCAGGACTATCTAGCTCAGTGATGCCAAACCTTTTTGGGCTCAGTGTGTCAAAAATGCATAAAATGCCTAACCTGATTCTGCTGATGTGTCACGCCACCGTCTTCTTTCCCCAGACACAAGAGAAACAATATGTAACGTACATAACTGGAAATATTTTTCAATTAGTCTTTATCCCTGAGGGAAAAAAATCCTATAGGAGGCAGCTCTAGGTTGCATGAGGCCTGAAAACTCTGGAGAATTCTCTAGTGGGGTCTTGCAGCTTCTAAAACAGTGTTTCTCAACCTTGACAATTTTAAGGCATGTGGACTTCAACTCCCAGAATTCCACAGCCAGCATTGCTGGCTGTGGAATTCTGGGAGTTGAAGTCCACATGCCTTAAAATTGTCAAGGTTGAGAAACACTGTTCTAAAATGAGTGGGAAAGCACACCTTGTTCTCAGGTGATTTTGGGAGGCTCCAGAAGCCTCATGGGAGCACACCCCATTCTTGTGCAGCTTCTGCAACTTCAGAAAACCTCAGAAAACTAAGCAAGAATGGGACATGGTGGCATGTCACCAAACAAAATGGGCAGATTTTGAAAAAAGCAGGAGAAGCTGCTGAAAGGTGATATTAATTGTCACTACAGTATTACCTTTGTTTCTGTTCCTCTGAAGTTCAGCTTCAGGGTTCCTTCAGGCAAATTATTATGTCAGTTGCAGATTCAGATTCTCATCTCTTCTTTGTTAGAAGGGTGTAAAAACTTAGTTCAAGATTGCACTTAGTGTGTCAGTGGATGTAATTTGAAATAATGGTCTATGTCAAATGGTGAAAAGGTAAAAATGTGTTCACAAGCTGTATTCCCTCTATCACATGCTTGAGTCTGCCTTGACAAAGAACAAGCCACTATAAAGCAGCATTTATGCTGCACAGAACTCTGCTATATGGAGACTCTTCAATTGACTATCTGGAGACCTGGTTAAAATGATGAGAACAGTGTGCAATTTTAATCAAATAAGGAAGAAACGTTTTCCCAGATTTTATTGCTTCCATGTGCATTGCATAGACAAGCTGAAAATGCCTGACATAGTATAATCAGTCTGAATTGTAAATAGTTCCAGAATTTCAGAGTTCATTATTTGGTGATTTTTAAACTATTTTTTTCCTCAGAAATGCTATTCTGTGATAATACTTAGACAATACATGGAATGTTCTTTTGAAAAAAAAAAAGCAGATGAAAAAACAGTAATTAAATCACATATGCTGGGTTTATGAAAAAGTAAACTTACTCTACAAAGTTGGTGCCCATATGCTTAATTATGGAGAAATATAGAGTAATTTTATTCTCTGTAATTGTTAGGGAGGCATGGACAGATAGACGCCACTGCCCTGTGCTAACAAAATGAAACTTCACATTCTTCATTTTTGTTGGGCAATGTACCACAATGTACAATTTTTTCCTATGCCATCTTATTGAACACTATAAAGATATGCAACTCTCTGGGGTGATTGGTACATGGTGGAATTTTGTGGATTTTTTACAACAGATATGTCATGGGAACTGTGACTGGCCAAAAACTGACCACTAATCTACATGCAAGCAGGTAATGTTATACCCTGCTGACTCCTCTAACTTATAAGTATTTTCAGTGGTGGAATTCAAATACCTAAACAACTGGTTCTCTTATTTGATGTAGGCCTGGGCTCCGAGGCCTAGAACGGACTTCCGGAAGTGGCATTCACGCATTTCGAGTGGGCCGTTCTAGGCCTGGGAGGTTGTCTCTGAGGCTTAGAACGGAGTTCTAGAAGTGGCATCCACACATTTCCAGTGGGCCATTCTAGCCTGGGAGGTTCTCTGAATGCAGCAAAATTTACCTACTGGTTCTGCCGAACCGGTGCAAACCGGCTGAATCCCATCACGGAGTATTTTGCTATAACTCCTCTACCCCTTATTTTTTTTACTTTTCAACAAGCAAACCCATTACATGACTGTATCAACTGTAAGGAGCTGGGGTGGCACAGTAGTTAGAATGCAGTATTGCAGACTGACTCTGCTCACTGCCAGGAATTTGATCCTGACTGATTCAAGGTTGATTCAGCCTTCCGTCCTTCCAGGGTTGGTAAAATGAGGACCCAGATTGTTGGGGGCAATATTCTGACTCTGTGAACTCCTTAGAGAGTGCTGTAAAGCACTATGAAGCGGTATATAAGTCTAAGTGTTATTGACTGTGCTATTGCTATCTACCTACAGTTATCATTTTCTAAGAATATAGATGAAGCAGTCCCCAAAATGAAGATATGTTAAAAAATGATACAATGTGGATATTTCCAATTTCATTATTAAAAAATTAAAGTCAGATAAGATAAACATCCTGGTAGGCATCATGTTGTCTATTCATGAAATAAAAGAATGAAATTGACCTACTGCAGAAAAGAGTTTTTATTATATCTCCCCATCACATCTTTGGATAATAGTAACCTCTCCCAGATGGAAATTCAATTTCATTATTGAATAAACTGAACACCATTCTACCACTCAGAACAAATCAAGATGTGACTATATGCTTACCATTTTGTTTAGTCCAGTTTTCTGTACTACAGTCTTTAGCTTTCTTTATGATGGAGAAACTGAGGGGATGTACTGAGGCATTCATTTCTCTCTAGAAGCACTAATTGGCTGATAGTTCTCTGTCCTCTGCTATTGTTTCTGAAAAGCAAATGTTGATTAACTCTCAGTTTTTCCTATAGTATCCAAGCATGCTAATAAATGTGGAAATAGATAATCTATACAATCCCAATTGTATTTTAATTGTTAAATCAGAAACATATTGATCACCTTGGATGCCATAGAAATAGGAATCAAGAATTACTAAACATTTGAGTATTTAACTACCATTAGTAAACCCATGTCAATTTTGGTCTATAAATCTAGCCTCTGATTCTCCCTATTCCTTTAAATTTTAAACCATGCTTGATTTGGATTAGGTACTCCTGGTCATTCTGAAGTCATCAGCCTTTCTGGAACAGAATCTACAATATTTTGCTCTTGACTTGCATACATTTCTGACCTATTTGGATTGAAAGCCAATTTATCTGAAAACAACTGCCTCTGGCCCAACTCATTCCAAGGTCTGACTCATATACAGTATAAAGGGAAAAGGACAAGCCTATAAGTGGATTGACAGATGAATTTTGTCCATGATCAAGATGGACATTGTATTCATATGTTGATTTTGGATAGTATAGTATATATATTATTGCATTCACCAAAGACTTAAAACTCCTTATTCTAGTTTTAATGCAAAACTCATTTCTTTGGCTAGCTATGACTAGTGACCTTAAAATACCACTTTAAAGATCACATTTTATGATTAAAGGTCACATTTTTACATTCTGGAGAGAGAGAGAGAAGTTCCCTGAGAATGGGAGCATGAGTTTGAAAGCTTGGAAGATTAAACCTCTGGTCCCAGTGACTAAATTGGATCCTATCACATTTTAAGACACATAATAGAAAATTAAACTGATAAAACTCATAGTTTTTTTTTCTGTCTCCATTCCCAGATCCACAGGAATTGGTATCAATAGGAGAAGACCGGATTCCTAGGATCTACTGACTTGTCTCTGGGGAAGCATTATTTCATGCTTTTAAAAAGTATTAATACTCTGACCAAGGATAGTCATATTCTGTAATTAAAAATTTTAAAATAAGATTGAAACTTCTTTGAAAAAAGAAAGAAAGAACATTCTACTCCTACTTGCTGAAGATTACTTACAATAATTATTTTTCAGGTCTGAGATTTATCAAATATGTGTTCAACAATCTGAACAGAGTCTCAAGTATCAATGTGTTTTGCAGTGGGCTATTATTCCTGTACAAACTGCAGAAATGATTGTTGTTTTCTTTTTCCTGATTTATAAGGATGACATCAGAACATCCAGAGCACTATGGAGAAGATATGGACATGATGTTGTATGCTTATGATCATTATATCCGCGGAGCAGCTACAACTTTCTCTGGTGTAGAAAGGTCAGGTTCAAAAATGCTATTTTAAAGCTGAATCTTTCCCTTAACACTAAGCATGAAATATTAAAGAAAAAAAAACACAAAGATGAAATAATTACCTAGGTGTGATGGGAGCAATGGATATAATAGAAAGCATGATGACTTTTCTGAGAGGCAGAAGGACAATTGCCCTTTAACAGTTAACAATTAGCTAACAGCCAGATAGATATCAATCTTTTTTTACACCCCCCCCCCAATATTATCTTAATAGACCTCCCTCCAGTAATGGCAATTCCAAAACAAATACCTTAAGTGTAGAAAGAGCTTAGCCCTAGACATTAATAGGAAAAGGAGACTTTATTATATATTAAATTCTGATATTGATATTGTAGAGTAATTCAAGTTATTAATTTCAATATTTTTAGAATATAGAATTATAGTTCTGTACTTATTTGGCTGAAGTGGTTTTGGAACTTTTTACAGAATTAAAGGAAGATTCTTTAACAACTGAAGCAATTTAAAGTAATAGTTTGAAGCTGTAAAACCAAAAGAAACTGCAACTGAATTCCTGATATTGTGCTGTAAACTTTTAGAGAGGATAACCTTGTTTATTTAGTGAATTAACATAATAAAAGAATCAATATATGATGGGGCCAGTTCTTGACCATTCTTTACAACTGAGAGCAAAAGGAAGCAATACCAAGCAAATTGTACATTTGCTTTCAGAGTAGTTTGAACATTCTTGAGATAAAAAGCAATTCAAATCAATGGATAATCAATACTGTTATAAAACTTTCTTTTTGGGGTGTGTCTTCAAGTGATGATTAGCACCTGACAACTGCCTGAATAAGTCCCTGCAGTTGTGTTGGAAAAAAATTCTGAAATGGCTTGCCATTGCCTCTTTCCTGGGGCTGAGAGAAAGTGACTGGTCCAAAGTCAACTAGCTGATTCTGTGCCTAAAGTGGGATTAAGATTCATACTTTATAGCCTGGTGGTTTTAACCATTGCACCAAACTGGCCCCACTTAATCATTACATCTGAGCTGAAAGAATATAGCCATAAAATATGCTCATTTTTAATAATGGAAAATGTATTTCTCCCCCTTTTTCAATGCAACATATTTTGCTTTAGTTTGATTACAAGCAGCATTGCTCCTGGATGAAATTGCATTTGGAAAAATTCTATGAAGTATCATTAATAGCCATTCTAAATCAGATTTCCAATTTTATTTAGGCTCAAGGCCCAAGTATTTCAAAATCACGCTAGAGACCTTGCTAGTTGTTTTTCTTTCGCTAGAAAAACCATAATTCAATTTTTTTTTACTGTAAATAAATTTAATTCATAATCTTAATATATTTGGTATTGTTTTCTTATTTACAGTGTATTAAACCTTATTTTTATTTCTCTTCCTTTGCAGAGATCGTCAGTGGAAATTTATTGTCTGCAGGATGACAAATTTTGATTGTCAATTTCAAAATGCTTAAAAATTCTGAATATATGCTACACTTTGGAGTTTGGGTGGGAAATATAATAAAAGGGTGAAAGGAAAAAAAAGGCAAGAAAGTCAAATCAGTAATAAATGCATCAACCTCTTACAGAGGTTTGACTCTTGTATTCAAAAAAGGCTGGTAAGTACAATATTGAGTTATTTCTTCACTTTCTGCAGGGGAATTCATAGAGCTCTTAATTAGAGAATAGAATTTCTGCCTGTATTCTCACAACCTCTGCAGAGCCTGCGCACATAATACTTGAATTTCCATTGCTTTCCAGTCCATTACCTGCCTAGTCAGTTGCACCTGCAGAATTAATGTTAATTTGGGAGTATGCATGGCCAATCTCTCTTCCCATAATAGTAGAACTTTTACCCTTATATTGGTGTCAATTCTCACATATATCACTATTATGACCTGGGCATATGAGTAGCTGCTGGGCAGAGAGCAATCTTTGAGAAAACTGCAGATCATTTTCCTGGTTTTTTTAAATGGTTAGATGGTTACTTGTTTAAACTTGGATAAAGTTACTTCCTTTGTTATTTAGCTACTCTGTACAAATACAGCTTGATTTTGCATAGCAACTTTATATCCACTGCATCCACTTACTTACAAAAGAGCAAAAGCTCCCTAACTTGAGCTTTCTTCATATCTGTTCACACTGCTGAGATTAGCAAAATAAAAAATAAAAAAAAATCACCTTTGCAAACCATATCATTATTATATTATATCAAGGTTGGTTGGTAGCAGTCACTTTTAAAGATTGTTCATCTACATTTTTAATTGTTTGTTTACACTTCAAATGAAATAGATTAAAATACATTCTGAGGACCATAATATCTCCATGTTGAATGGTATCAAATTATTTTTGTTAACTGTTATATATCCGTGTTGCTTCCCTTGTAATTAGAGACCATAATAAATTCTAGAATACTGAAACCCCATGGAAAAGAGCAATGGCAATTGTGTAACTCTGTACAAAAACCGATTATATTCCAGTGGCTTTTGCTTTGTAGCTCAAATGTGAATATAATTTTGTTGAACATTGTTTAAGGCTTAACTATGAAGGAAGTCATTGAGGGAGTTACTTAAGAATAAAATATAAACAAATGCTGTGCAATTTATTCTAAATACCTGTATCTATTATTCAAGTATATTATGAATTATTTACAATTAAATGAATAAAATAAATAAAATTATATGGCAATTCAGTAGCTTTTAAACAGCTTTCAACAATTGTTTGTGCATTTAATAATTGCGAACAAATTAGCTGTAGACATTCTGTTACTAATTGCTTAATATAAATTAGCAAAGTTCTACTATATTCAAAAACAATAGATACAAATGATTGTTTATGGATTTGGTCTCACTCATTATGAAAGTATTAAAATTGTAATCAGCATGCCTTTGAGAAGGATTAGGAAAATTTTAAAATATGAATAAGTTGTACAAAATGCATTTGAAGTGAATTCCATCTATTCAAGAAAGAATTAAAGTGAAATATTTTGTATCTAGCAAGAATAGAAATTCAGGAAAGGGCATCATTTTGCATTGTTAATGAATCAACCCATCCATTAATTAATGCAGCCTAAAGAGCATACTCACATTAACACTTAAAACACTATGCTTCAGTTTTCATGTGAAAACAAGAGAAAGAAAACTTTCATAATTGGGATCTGGTTCCCTTCCTGAAAATCTTTGCATTTCAGAAGGCAGCTTTAGTAACGTCTCTCCTGAGGAATCAAGATTAACTTGGCTGAACCAGTAAAACTCCAGAATTTCCTCTGAAGTGGAATCTTTTGTGAGGAACATGATATTGTAAATCACAAGAACAATTTCTTGGAAGTAAGCAGAAGAGGGAATAATAATGGTGTATTAATTATATACAGGAATGGGTGATCTATATGGAAAGAGTTTATGATCTTTGCAATATTGTATATTGCACAAAGGTGCATGTACACACACACACACACACACACACACACACCTTGATTTAAGATATACTTATGAAACAAGAAAGGATACTGTCTTGAGCCAAGTTTCCCTACAATAGTGCTATGATCTAAATCTTTATCAGAATTGTCCTTAACTGGAAAATGCTAGGAATGTTGAGAAAGCCTTCTAGTATTTCTCTACAAATGCTGCAATTCTGGAATTTGCCAGAGAAATTACCACTAAGAAAAATATTTCCTAGGCCATGTTTCTTTGAAAGAGCAGAATACTTATATATTGTATATTTACAAAAATAATAGCTTTATTATCATTTCCTGGAAAGGTATCTCACATATGAGCTTAATTTTGGCTTCTGTAATCATTGCTATGCAAGAAGTTAGATAAGACTTTTTCTGATCGTCTGGAATTTTTTTGACTAGAAATGGCAAAGGTTGAGCTTGGGAATTTCTCAACATAAAACATATTCAACAGAGATGCAGGTCCTACTAATTCTTCTTAGGATTTTTTCAATCCATCTTGAAACTGTGTGCGTGCAAACATTTAATACTGGTGGGTGAAAGAGAGAGTGATTCAGAACTCATTTGCATCTAAATATGGCACACATATCCCTAGCAACGTTTTTTTTTTTTTTTTGCTGGTTCTTCATGATGTTGACTTCATCTGATCACCATCTCTTAAATGAATCTGTCTTAAAATCATCCTTAGCTGAAATAGTATCAGCTGTATTACTGTGACACAGGTTTCACCACAGATATATTCTGATACTTTTAAGCAATCATTTTGTAAGCGATTTACTGAGTGGTGCGGTGACCTAGTGGTGAAGACACATGGCTCCCACTCAGAAGGTTGAGAGTTCAATCCTAGGTAGTAGCAGATGTTTCTCTCCTAGGGTGCAAAGAAAAAAATCTGCTGCAAATACTGTTTGGCATCAGGAAGGCATCCAGCCTATAAATGCTCAGCTCCATCCAGTTGCCCCAACTCTACCCTGAATTAAGGGATTACAAGGCCTTAAAAGGGAGTTTGTAGATGATTCCTAAAGGGGTATAATAATAAGCCTGATATCTATTGGACATTTTAGGACCTCATTCCTCTACTCTGTATGCATTTTCTTCTGTCATTCTGAAGATTAGATTGGAAGAATAGATCTGGAAGGGACCTTGGAGGTCGTCTAGTCCAGCCCCTCACTTAAGCAGGAGAACCTATAACATCTTAGACAGGTAGCTGTCTAGCCTCTTCTTAAAAATCTCCAGTGATGGAGCACCCACGATTTCTGGAGGCAAGCTGTTCCCCTGGTTAATTGTCCTCGTTGTCAGGAAGTTTCTCCTTAATTCTAGGCTGCTTCTCCCTTTGTTCAGTTTCCAATCATTGTTTCTTGTCCTGCCCCCTGGTGCTTTAGTGAATAATGTGACCCTCTCTTCTTTGTGGCAGCCCCTCAAATACTGGAATACTGCTATGCTGGCTCAGGAATTCTGGGAATTGAAGTCCACGAGTCATAAAAAAGCCAAGGTTGTCTACCCCTAGATTAGCCAAATCCAAGTCCTGCAGCCATTCTTTGTATGTTTTAGTCTCCATGCCTTTGATCATCTTAGTTGCTCTTCTCTGAATGTTTTTCAAACTCTCAACATCTTTTTTGTGATATGGTGACTAAAATTGGCTGCAGTATTTCAGGTGTGGTCTTACTAGGGTTTTATAAAGCAGTACTAATACTTAGCATGATCTTGATTCTATGCCTCTGATTATACAACCCAGGATTGTATTTGCTTTTTTTTGGCTGCTGCTGCACACTGCTGGTTCATGGTTAAGTGATCATCCACTAGGACTCCAAGGTCCCTCTCAAAGTTACTGTTTTTAAGCCAGCTCTTGTCCAGTCTGTACTTGTACCTTTGACTTTTCCTGCCTACATGTAAAACTTTGCTTTTCTCCACATTGAAACTTATTTTGTTGGACAGGGCCCATTGTTCAGGTTTGTCAAGAACTTTCTGGATTCTGAGTTTGTCTTCTGGGATGTTGGCTACTCTTGCCAGTTAGGTGTCATCTGCAAATTTGATGAGTTCCCCTTCAATTCCCTCATCTAAGTCATTTATGAAGATATTGAAGAGTACTGGGCCAAGATGGAACCTTGTGGTACCCCACTGCTTACTTCTCTCCATGTGGATGTAGTGCTGTTGAGGACTACTCATTGAAGTGCAGTTCCCCTGTACCTATTATATCTCTGAAGTTATTCCTGGTCTGGTACACCTTGAACAGCAGCTGATCTGCAATGGTAACAGGGAGTGGGATGCACAGTTTTCTGCAACCTTCCCTGCCAGCTGTCAGATATGTTCAGACTGCTTTTGAACAAAGTTTTAGTACTCTTCTGAAATAGTACTAAACTTTGCTCCAAAAGGAAGTTGACTATCAGTTGACATCAGCTGATAGCCAGATTCCCTTTGCATCAATCTGTGCAAAACATTTGAGAAAAAAAACAGGGCATTCTAGTGGAGAGTTAAACTCATTAGTCTTGGCTTTGGTCAAAATTCCTCCCCAAGCTTCAAATCCAATCTACATTAACAAGAATGATTGGCATAGGCTTTCCTCCTGGTTATGTTTGATGAAAGGGATGGGAAATACACCAGTCCTTGGTGCTGACATTTCCTGTAAATTGTAATCAAGGACAATTGCATTTGTTGTCATTGTGTCTATGAGAGGATAGGGATGACTAGTGAAAGACACAAGTTTTATGCTGGTATAGCTTTTTACCAGTTCCATGTGTATACAATTAATCCTCAACTTATGATTGAAATCAAGCCTGAATTATGGCCACAAATCATTGCAGTTGTAAGTCAAGACATCATGATTTTTCAATATTTTTGCAGTGGTCATTAAGAGAACACAGTGATCATTAGATGAACCAATTTTCCCCAAAGAAATCAGAAGCAAACACCTGAAACCAGCAAATGTTGCAATTTGTGGTCATGTGGATATCAAGATCCTGCATATGGCCATAAAGGTGAGCTGATTGTCAAGTGCCCAAAACATGATCATGTGACTGTAGGGGTGATCCTCATAACTTGGAAAATAAGTCATAAGTAGTTTTGGAGAATCCAAATTTCAAATGGTAGCTAAATGACAAGTCATAAGTCAAACACTACCTGTATTACTTTAACTTAGCTGAAGGAAGAGCTGAGAAAAACAAGAGACACGGAGGAGTGTTTTAAAGAAAAGATGTCTTGTGCTAAGCTTTAACAAATGTAAGCTTGAATAAATCATTGCTTTTGTACCTATTTATAGGCAATGTACTTTCTTTCATTTTAATGCACATAGATTACCCCCCTACTGCAGAGTTTAAAACTGGAAATTGAAGCCCAATGGAAATTACTTTTACAATGTCCATAGCTGTTTACTAAGAAGCTCCCTACTGTGATGTGCCATAAATATTAGATACTCCTGATGCTTCTGCAAAAAGCTATAATGTAATTTTTATTGATGGCATTCTACTGAAAATGGTTATGCTGTAACAAGAGAAGATAGTTTAGATGATGTCAAAGGAAGACAAAAAGTGCTCTTCAACCATGTATGGGGATGTGCTTCTTATTTTCTAAGTGTCTCCATTAAAAAAGATGTTCATTATGCTTTATTTTTAATAGGATTTTGTCCTCTATAAGTATTAGACAGCCACCCTACCCCAGTTTGATGTCATCTAAAAATTTAATGAATAGCAGTTCGATACTATTCTCTAGAATAGATCATTTTAAAAATTGTCAATTAGCATATGGCCAAACCTAAAATCTCCCACTTGATACTGCCCTCTCCAGAACAGAGCAGAACCATTTATGAGTTGTTCAACCAGTTGCAAATTTTCTGTTTTTATGCCTCTTGTTTACAAATGCATGATACATTTTGTCAAGACTCTGACTGAGATGAAAATCATTACTCCTATTCTCCTAGTCTTACAGGCAAGTCATTCTGTCATAAGAAGAGATATCATGTTCTTAACAACATGCAAAATGCCATCTTTTCTGATACCTTGCTAAAGTGATCTGTCTGAATCCTTTCATTTCCCCTTTTGAATAATGAGACTAGTCTCTTCTCCAATGTTTATTTCCAACTCAATTTTCATCAAAAGTTGCATGCAGCAATTCTGAGAAGAAATTTTGACCATTTCTTTAACATCTTGCGATATAATTGCCTTAGCTCTGGAGAAAAGAGTTTATTTAAGATTGCAGAGTTGATTCTAACTATACTTTTATCAATCCTGAAGTGTGTTTTTCCTTG